CCACTCAGACAAGATTTCTGAAAAAAGAAGTTTCCAAATTTATAAACAAACTGCTGGGAAGTTTACTTTGAATTGTACGTTAACCCAGGATTAAACTAATCGGCTTTTTAGCAACCGGCTCCAGAGGGTTAAATTTCATATTTTTGCGGCATGTTGAACTCACTGCAATTTTTACTTTGCTATTATAGGTCATTATCCGAAGGCAAAGATGGCCTAAAAAATGCACCATTAGCAAAATCCTTCATCGACACGGGACACTGCTGCGTAAGTCTTGGTGACAGCGAAAACGCACTATCGTATTACCAACGTGCTCTGGAGATGCGCAAAGAGATGAACTTTGATGTCGCTGCGGCACATAGCGAGGTTGCCAGTGGTTACAGTCGTTTAGGACGTCCACTCGAGGCCATCAAGTGTTACGAGGAAGTCATTTGTCTTGATGAAAAGAAATATGGGGCTGGAAATGTCCCTGACTCCACAATTAGCACAAACCTGTGTAACTTAGGAAGTGAGTATATTGTAACCGAAGAATACGGGAAAGCAGCTGAGATGCTAGAAAAGGCGTTGGAGATTTTAAAAAGAATGCTTGGAAGTGGTGCCTCCGTCGAGCTTGCTTCTACACTGAACAACTTAGGGACAGTGTACAGAAACCTTAAGAAATCCGAGAAAGCATTGTCGTATCTAGAAGAAGCTTTAGCTGTGAAAAAACAGCTGTACGGAAAGGACAGAGCGCATTTGGAAACTGCTAAAACTTTAACCAACCTTGGCAATCTTTGCAGTCAGCTAGGACATTTCCAAAAAGCGATCGATTACTTCTCGGAATCGCTGGACATGAAATACGCATTATATGGTGCAAATGCAATTCATCAAAGCATTGCTGTTACCCTTGGTAACATGGGCAATGTTTATTATCAGATGAGTCAATACGAAAATGCCGTCGCCTACATCAAGGATGCTCTGCAGAGGTTTGGTGATGCAGAATCGTGCAATCGCGAAGTCGCTCTCAACCTGTACAATCTTGGTCAAGCTTACGAAAGTTTAGCTGACTTGCCAGCCGCGTGCGGGTGCTACGAAAAATCCCTCCGGATTATGGTTCAAGTCTTTGGTGAGTCACATCCATTAGTTAGAAGAGTTCTCCTGAGCTTGTTAAGCGTTCGTGGTATGGCACAACTACAAGCTTCGCAGACCAACATTTCTGGATAGCTTGCAGCAAATTATTGACTTACGTATGTCAGGTTATTTTTACATTACAAAACAATGATTTGCAACGTAACTTAATATAACTGTTGTAATGGTCGCAAGCAGTAGCACGCATGATGGTTAGTGCGTATGTTTTTTGTATTTTTAAACTGATGATGGAACAACCTCCAATTCGTTGTTACTGCATAAATATTTTTTAGTCTTTCTGTAAGCGGTCTTTAGTAATGCGAAAGTGATTTATAAAAAATGAGGTTTGTTTTAATATATATAAAAAAAAAACTATCATCTAATAGCTTTTTTCGACACTGACTCGACCCCAGTGGTCTCTATTTTTTTGAAGAAAATAGCTGAAATCTCGATTTTAGAGAAAGAATACGTATATCACGTGACACTTGCCACTGTCAGCAAACGGACAACTGAGGACGAGTCGGCAACCGAAAGATTAATTAAATGATTACACTTTAATTCTGTGTCATTATTTATTCTTCCATTTATGTACAGTGTACAAGAGCGATCCAAATTGTTATTACCATAAGTTGCCAGTAACTCCAACACATAGTTGAGATTACAGATCACCATAGACTTTTTAAATTAAGTTTGCAGGAATAGATATACGGGCTGGTTATTTGAATGCCAACGTTTTTTATCCGGGTTTAATCCCGAACATGGCAGAAAAACGTTTGGTGATTTAAAGTTGATCTGTCTTACACAAATCTGTTATTGACGAGAATGGCTGAACTTCTTTAGCTATTTCTCAGGTTTCTGTATTTACTACACATGGATGAAAGTCAATGTCTACTTCTGGATAAGGCACTAGCTGGGTTTAGATCCGATGTCGTTGTTGAGTTAAATTATATATATATATATATATATATATATAATATATATGTATGGTTAAATTACTTTAAAGCCAAAATATATCCGCCATATTAAAACGTCATTGTTGCCATAGCAACAGCAGTTGTATTACTTTTATATAAATTCGAACTATGCGGATGTTTTTCAAAAATTGTATTCAGCCACATTAAAGTTAAAATGTTAGTCGAACTTGTTTCCGTACTGGATCTAGACCTCCCTAGTACTACTAACCATTACAGATTAACAATTGATATGGAAATTAGATAACATCATAAGCCCATATCAGTAATAACATGACTGTACTAGTTCTTAATGTTGATACAAATTTTAGTGTTATAGTTTTTGCGATCCTTGATATATTTTTACCATGCTGTGATGTATCGCCAGAGTGAAACACGTGTGTGTGTGTGTGTGTTGTTACAGAACATATCTTTATAATTTATGCAACCTGGTCGTTAGGAGGGAAAATCACTCTGAGAAATGTTCAATTCTTCAGAAGGAAGGGGATGGGGAAAGGCAAGATCTCTGCTTAACTATGTATGTCACCACTACTACAATTATCGTCTTAACCATCATTAGCATAATCTCCATACCACCATAATCACAATGATCACCGCTATCACCATCATTACGACCTTCATCATCACCATCATTGTCAACACCGCATCACCATCATGCATCATCAACATCATCATCAACACCATAGTAATCGAAACCATAATGATCACCACCATCAACGCCATAATCATCATCACTACCATCCAGGTGATCTCGTGTTCGTATTTTAGCCAATCAGCGGTCAGAAAGGGTTGTCCGGATAGAAATCCATTTTGATGTATTCAGTCAATTATATCTTTCGTTATTCTTTATGAAACTAGTTGAAATTTTGTAATTATGTTTGGTTATGAGAGCTATAGCTCTGACAAAAATATGGAATCGAAATAAAGTATATTACAGGAGATATTCAGTTGTTTTAATCATAAAATGGATTTCTATTTGACAACTAGTGCCAGTACTTTTCCGCGTATCAAGATCATCTGGATGGTTATCACCTCCATGTAATATCACCTCGTATAATATAATTCGAAGATACAATTACATCGTTCAATAATACTACTAAAATGAAAATATCCGTTGTCCAAGTTCGCCAGGCTATAAATGACAGTAATTTTACAAGATACTTTCAAAGTCTACATTGTGACTAACAACGAACTCTTCCCAAGATTTTGCCTTCGGATTGAGTTTCTTTGTAAGATTTATATCACGTTCTATTCCTTTTTGGAAAACCCTGAACATGGATGCCATCTCTTGCGCACCAGGGAAACCAAGTTTTGCCATTTGATCTGCTGTTTGTTTAGCATCCTTTAATTTATAATGGTAATTGAACTGAGTGGAGTGCAATTTGGACTGAAATCAAACGCCTGATTACAAAATCGCACGACCGCGAAGCGGGAGTGCAATTTGTAATCACAAGTTTGATTTCAGTTCAAAATTGCACAACACGATTTTCAATTTCCACTTTATTACATTCATTTTGAAATCTTGAACATTTTTTGTAAACTGGAAACGTTTTTTGTTTGCAAAAGACACACCTCTGATACCTCCCTGAGTGCTGTAGCATAGCAACAATAAGCGAACAAGATGAGGTTTTGTTAAATTTACAATTTATACGTTCAAAAATCAAAATACTGTTAAAGAAATGAAACATTTATAAATAAAATAAAGAGCAACACAATTAAAGTTTAAAGATATTGTAGGTTTTACGAGTGATTTGAAAGAGTTTTGGTGCAGTTTTGTGCGTTTAAAACTGGAAATACGATAGGCAAATTTACCTTTGTTTTCCCTGAAGCTTTAAATTTGCTTTTGTTGGCGTTCTGACAATATTTTATAGAAGATCATGTTCTTTTAAAATTTGCCTGTTACTATTTGTGAAATTTGAAAATTTTGAGTTTACTGTAGCTATCCATATTACTTTGTTTTTATGTGCAAAAAATTTGGGGAAATTTTTAGTCCTGCTGGGCAGGACAAGCAGGACCGCATTGCCATTGGACCGCCTAGCTACGCCACTGGAAATAACCATGCAAATAAAATAAAACAATAGAATTTAGTGTTCCGCAAGTTTTAGTATGCATTTGTTAACTTAATATTTGTAAAATATTTAAAAAATAGAAAAAGTTTACAAAACAAATTTGTAGTGCGAGAAAAATACGAAACGTTTATAAATTTTGTTTAATTCTTGAATGGGACGATGCTGGACCCGCGCTAGCGCTCAAACTGCCTATATATGGCTTGTACAAAAAATTTAAAAAAACAATTATCGTGTTGCCACGACTAACCAGCCGTTTCGCACGTTGTAACCAATAATCTATTGGCGTTGTAATGCCATTGTATGCAATAAAGTATTGGGTTGTAATGGGTCTACAATTACAGTAACACTAATCCAAACGTTAATCCTAATCCTAACCCTTAACCTCTAACCCCCTAACCCTAAAGTTGGTGACCTTTTTTTTTAATAAATACGGGAATTACCAATTATGGCGATAAATTAAGCGAATAAAGCGATACGTATTCACCGATTCCGCATGTCTTATCTGAATCATCTTATAAATATGTATGAGTCAGATTCGTCTTCTTCAGAAGACCAACGCGGACAATTAGCAAGATTTAGGAACGCCCCCATTACATACTACAGTGGCTGTGCATGGTTTATAGAACTAAAAAAATCATTAATTTTGACAGACGTCTGCAAGGAAAAATAGAGATTGTTGCAAGGAATATTGGCCGAAAATATGGAATTCTCAAGTTATAAAGAAGGATTTTTTTATTTTGGATGTGGAAACACTGCTGCATTCAGTGTTTGCCAATTGCTAATACTTCACGTCAGATCAATATTTGGAAATTTTAGGCGAGGGGTTGCTGCATGCATGTATTTCTAGTTTATACTGGACAGGTCAATGAGTTCAAAACTGCTACTCAATAGGTCAAATAAGTTGTGAACTGTTCTCCTAGTTGCATCCATGTTGGTCAATGGTCCATGAGGAGAATTCCAGATTTCCCCAAGAAGAGCTGCGGTGTTTGACTGCATATAACTGGAAGCACTTATTCCACACATGACTTTTTGAATTAAGTGCTTTCTGATGTATTTTATAAACAACAAGACGCCTGCTCAGGCGTTCACACTGGCCTGAAAATGACGACATATACGTGCTATGGTGTAATAGACAAGGAATACAAATCGTGAACCGCAAATGCAAAGCGTGAAAGGCTGAAAGCGTGGCGTGATCGATACATGAGTGGGTGGGATACACAGATATAGGAGATCTAGATTGCTAACGCATACCTAACGCAGGCGGGGCCTACATGATAAATCCAAGATGGCGGTACAACAGGGCAAAAAGACAAAAATTTTATTACGAAAATCAGGATTTTGCATTTTTTGCCGACGCATTGTTTTGAAACTTATTCGGTCAAATTTTATGGTAAAGAGAAACTTACCGCGAAGATTGTGAGCATATATATGATTGAATTGGATGAAAACTCGCAAAATTATCCATCGATAAAAGTTCGTGTATAGTACTGATATAGTACTATATATGTAACTTGTACAGTTTTGCTTTAATTTTTGCTCACTATTTGCATAAAAAGCAAATTATAACAGACTATAGATGATAGACCCTCATCCAGTGCTCTCATCAGTTTACTTCTCTAACAAGCAAGGAGGGTACATAACAGTTCATTTTTCATAATTATGAGGACAGAGCAGATGATGATGAGAGATGCAAGTATAAAACACCATTCACAAGGCTAGATGTTAACATAGCACAGTATTTCTGGCAATAAAACGCTCCAACTGACCAACTGACCATTTCACACGAACTTTTATCGCTGGATAATTTTGCGAGTTTTCATCCAATTCAATCATATATATGCTCAAAATCTTCGCGGTAAGTTTCTCTTCACCATAAAATTTGACCGAATGAGTTTCGAAACAATGCGACGGCAAAAAATGCAAAAATCCTGATTTTCGTAATAGAATCTATAGTCTTTTTGCCCTGTTGTACCGCCATCTTGGATTTATCATGTAGGCCCCGCCTGCGCTAGGTATGCGTTAGCAATCTAGATCTCCTATATCTATGGTGGGATACGCAAAATTATCCTAAGTTATCCTGAGGAGATGTTTTCTTAATGTCCAATGAAAGTTATGAAACACAAGTATTACTCACAAATACACAGGGAGCCCAAGCGTTGATCTGTGTTAGTGTTGTATGTTTTTCAGTTTATTTATTTTAGTGTCTTTATATTGCCTTTTAATTGAATTATAACACTAAATTACACTAATATGTCATATAATAATAATACTCCTATAGTCGAACATATACAAACGTTAATGTTATCCATAAATGCACTAAACGCAGGCGACATTCCGTAAGCCGCGTAACGTATAAAATTCGAAAAACTCAGCGATCAAGATATCGCATTTCCAGAGACGTTGCACGAAAAACGTAGGATAAATACAAAATCCACAGAAAAACGCGGTAAAGTTCGTTGACAAATAAAGAAAATGTTTGAGACTGAAATAGTAACTCACTGAATGGCCGCCATCTTGCAAACTGATCTGTATAGTAAACTGGAACACTGGGAACTGAGCCTGCGATGCGCTAATGCAAACTCGATTTCTCGACGACGAAATAAACAGAAAAACCCAGAAAAATTAGGGATTTAAAACACTTGGCCTTACAGGCCAGTGTAATTAAAAGTACAATATCCACGGCGTTAAAAGCAATGATCTCCAAATTTCATTCAGTATGGGCCAATGTAAAGGTCTGATTAAATTAGATACTGATCATCCATCTTAGTGTATAAATACAAGCTATGCAGACAAACTGCATATACTACGCTCTATACTGGCAATTAATGGTCTTGAAACAAATCATGGCTCGTATGTATAGAATAAAAAGTGGTAAATGGCTTGAATTGTTGCCAGAACCATTTTGGCTATTTATGTTTACATTAAGACTCGCATAAAAATCGACGATCTATCAAATTGATGGATGATCTGATTCTCATATATTAAACTCGAGGCAGTGTGTTTATATTGCGTGCTTAGGATAGTACATGCACTGGTAAAGTAAAAAAAGTATAAAGCTACCAAAACGGCGTACCCACGACAAACCCATACATCTTTTCAGCACTTTCCAAGCCGCAATAGATCAGCTGTTTAACGCCTTCTTGCAAGCATACGTCAATGACGCCTTTGCCCTGCCCTGTCTTGTCTCGCGAGCTCCGTCCAAAATTAAAAAACTCCGTCCAAAAACGTTTGGTGATTGAAAGTTGATCTTTCTTACACAAATCTGTTATTGACGAGAAGGGTTGAACTTCTTTAGCTGTAATATCTATTTCTGGATAACGCACTAGCGGGGTTTAGATCCGATGTCGTTGTTGAGTTAAATTCTATATCTATGGTTAAATTACTTTAAAGTAAAAATATCCCCCATATTAAAACGTCATTGTTGCCATAACAACGGCAGTTGTATTACTTTTGTGGATAAATTCGTACTATGTAGATGTTTTTAAAAACCTGTGTATGTATGTTGTTATAGAACATATATTTATGCAACTTCGTACGTACACTGGGTAGGAGGTTGAGCTTTATGTGGTCGTTCGGAGGGAAAATCACCATGAGAAATGTTCAATTCTTCAGAAGGTCAGGGAAGGGGATGGGGGAAGGTACGATCTCTGCATACCTGTGTATATCACCACTACTATCATCACCAATAACCATCATTACCATAATCTCCAACACCACCATATATATAATCACCATCATTATTGTCAACACCGCATCATCAACACCATAATTATCACCACCATCACTACCATGGTTATCACCTTCATATAATGTCACCTCGTTTAATATAACTCGAAGATACAATTACATCGTTCAAGAACACTACTAAAATGAAAATATCCGTTGTCCAAGTTCGCCAGGCAATAAATGACAGTAATTTTACAAGATACTTTCAAAGTCTACTTTGTGACTAACAACGAACTCTTTCCAAGATTTTGCCTTCGGATTGAGTTTCTTTGTAAGATTTATATCACGTTCTATTCCTTTTTGGTAAAGCCTGAACATGGATGCCATTTCTTCCGCACCAGGGAAACCAAGTTTTGCCATTTGATCTGCTGTTTGTTTAGCATCCTTTAATTTAAAATGAAACATATTGAGTTAGAGCAAAAGCCAGGGGTGTCTGTGACATTCATATTTATTTACGATGATAATTTTATCTCAGTCACAAGTGAAAAGATTCCTTCTAGTTTGACCCTAGAACAGAGACCACAGGTTTTTTCCTGGTTACCTTGAAAACTCGTGGGGCTAAAACTTTGTTCAAGACATCACAAAATTCTCCTATTGTTATACACTCAGTGGCTACTCCAATAATTTTCCCACCATAGTTCTCTGGCTCATTGAATATACCTGAAAATAGGAAAGAAAACATGTTGATGTATTTCAAGTTTTCAACCATCTCTAGTAAACTCTATCATACACAGTCTGATTATTATCAACACCACTACCATCATCACCAGCATCATTATCATAACCATCAGTACCACATCCACCATTATCACATCCATCATCGCCATTATTCATCACCATTGTCACCACCATCATCAACACTATCATCACCATTACATCAGGGCTATCACTGTGACGGTGTTACCACAATCAGCATCATTACCATCAACCCCGCCATCACAACCACCACTGTTATCATCGCCACCATCATCACCACCATCATCATCACCACTACCATTATATCTTACTTGCAGTACATCCTCCCAGATCTTCAACATCCATTAAATACATCGGCTTTCCTTCCATGGGAACAGCCAAGACGTACGAGCCATCATCCATTTTATTCGGTTTCGCAAGAGTCAGGAAGTTATTAAAATATGCTGGCATTCTTACGCTGTTCCATATCATTGACCCTGCTTTCTCCATCATGTAATCTTCCACTCTGGTCTTTGAGTCGAAATGTTCTAAACAAAAACACATTATTTTGAGGCAAACTAAATTTATGTATACTGGATAGTTGCAACTATCAGTTCTAATAAGAGGTATTCCATCTTATTGCTTCAGTTCTTAACTACGCGAGGAAACCTAAACTATACTGACTATTAGGGCCATTCCATTTAATGTCCACACCCCCCCTACGGATGAGCTTTTCTGAAGGGTGACTCAAAACGTCGTTTCTGAGGGGTTAAGCCTGTCGGCATCCTTTGATCTCTGCAATTTTTCTGAGGGGTAAGGGGAAAATTTACAAATTTCTGAGGGGTGTTTTGTCACAAAATTGGCAGAATCGAATTTCCCACAAAATTGACAGAATTCGTCCCATTTATTTTTATAATAAGCCAATATTGCCGACTGCCCGCCCGGTACGCCCATGCTGAAAGCCTTTCACTGATATTGATTACACATTATTTAATCTAAAACAGCACATAAACATAGTGCAGCTGGGCAAACAATAACGAATTCTGACATTGGGGTTAAATCTAGCTTAATTAATTGGTGTAAAATCTTGTCGTATTGTTAAATAATAAAGTTGACTTGTTGCAAATTTCAGTGTCAAGCTGTCTTTTAATTCAATTTTCAGCAATGTTCACATTAACCGGAGACAGCTTTATGTCCGGGGCAAGCAATTCTCGCGGGACAAAAATTGTCTCGGCGTCTTAGTAAAACAGTAGTGCTGTTCACATTATTGGAAAAATTCTGCCCCCCGTTGGAAAAATTCTGACAAGTACAAGCATGTGGAATATATTTTCATTTCTTGTAATGGAAACGTTACTAATATCTCCCAATGTTTTAAATGTTCTGGATTCAACAGTTTAAAATAGACTCCAAAATGCTGAAAATGACACTTTATATAATTTACTCTAATTAGATGGATAGTGTGAGAATCCAGATACATTTCACATTATAATATAAACAAACTATTTTCGAACTTAGCGACACAGGGTAAAATTGCTTCGGCCCCCCTTGACTAGAAATCCTGGCTACGTCACTATAAAAATATCAAAATCGTGCAGGCTAAAATTACATTAAGAACGCCTTGGACTCCAGCAAAACTTGTTATTTGTTTGAAGATATCATTAGAAATCTATAATATTATGTTTGAAACCAACAAGTGCAGTATAGTATGCTACTCATGCAAAAAAATTGGTCTGGTTCAAAATTTTGAATTGAGCACATTTTACTACGACCGACAATCGACTATGTTCTATATAGCTATTTGAAAATCTATATATTTGAGGTACTAATTATATAATGTACTTTGTTTATTGACCAAGTACAAATCATATTTTGGTCATCGTATATTTATAGTGTGTTAGTGTTCATTGTCTTTACGTGTCTATTAAATGAAGTTGGATTAGAGAAAGGACTATACGTAGAGCTGAATTACAAAGAAGTTTCCATAATATAACAGTACGGTTGAAGTTGGAGTGGATTTATATGCTGGCTATGAATTAAAGACTTGATGTGGTAAGCTGTCACCAAAATTGACATTGATCTGATCAAGCTGTTCATCGTATAATTTCCCGAATTTCGTAAAAGTACTGGATTTGATGAAGCTTGACAAGGCGTTTTCAGGGGATATTGCTGCAACAGGAACAGAGTTTTTACACAATGATCTTGTTCCATTTATATTTTCAACGGTAAGATTATTCACTCTAGATGCCCCAGGACTTATGTTACTTTTAGGCATAATGTAAGAGGAGTACATGGAACCGTTTCTGCCTTTGAACCAGTGTTTGAAGTTTGGCTGTAAGTTTTATATACTACCTGCGGCATTTCGATACAACGTGGAACAAGCTTGTCAAATTCCTCACACTGTTTTTTAGTAATTGTTTTGAATAACTTTTCTAACTTGTGATCATTTGCATTTGATTCAATATTTGCAAGACCTGTGGCCGGTTGTATAAAAACGTAGTTAGCGCTAACTGCAGTTAAAAAGTAGTTAAAAAGCCTTAAAAAGTAGTTAACTTTAATCACGTAGTTAAGCCGGTTGTATAAAAGTGTAGTTAGCCTTAACTGCAGTTAAAAAGTAGTTAAAGTTAACTATGCTCTAGGGTATAGTTAACTGTCCAAAACGTAGTTAAAAATGGCGTTTGTATAGGAGTGAACAACATTTTTCAGTAAAACAATAATGAAAAGCAACGCTTACCTGAGATTTTCAATCACTATCTTCCCTGTGAATGTTTCCTGACAATATAAACTCTTCAAACGCTATCGCTTTGGTGTTTTTACGAAAACAGAACATATTTTTGCACGGACGATTTCTCGAAGACGAAGTATGGTCCATTACACCAAGAAACACTGATAAATTATTGCCAAACAGCTATACCTTGGTTTACCGTAGACATCTCAAGGAAAAACTGCATTCTTTTATGATTTTTGAGGCGGTTTTTCCCTGTTTTCTTGTTTATTTTTCACTGTTTTGAATAAAATTCCCGCCTATTTGCAAAATACGAGTCCACAATCATGTTGAAAATGTGTGTCAGCGGTCGTTACTCGCTGCTTACTTTATGTAATTTTGTGTTTAAACACCCCACGCAAGCCCCACGCACAGTTAACTACGTGATTAGTTAACTATCCGACTAACTACGTTTTGTGCAACGCAGTTAAGTCATGTAGTTAACTAATTACAGTTAAGGATTTAACTACAGTGATTAACGCTAACTACAGTTAGCGTTAACTACGTTTTTATACAACCGGCCCCAGGTGTGTTTTCTGTTGACAAATTAAGACCAATACCAGTTTCATATGTTTTGCCTTCTTTAACTTCATTTTTGGTATTTTTTGATTTTGAAGGAGATGACGTCTTACTTTGCAGGTTTTTGTATCTGCGAAGCAGATATATATGCTATCGAGGCCTCGTGTATAAATCGTGTTTTATATTCTTTCAAAAATATCTTGATATTTTTATCAATTTATCTTGAATTGGCTGTCTTTTTTTTATTCCGAAGTTATTTATCAACATGGAATCTTATCCTCATCTGGTAAGTAGTCAAATACCACATATTATATATTTAAATACCAAATTTGTGCAAATATATGTCCCACATATTTTATATTAAATACATGATTCGCCAGTTCGGCAAATATTTACTACACTATCTATAGTTAAATATTGCCGTATCTTCGGCTTTTTACAAACATTTTCAAATAAAAGAATCCTCACCCTCCCGAGCCTCATTACATTGTCATATTGCTTTCTAACATAAATATTTTTCTTTAGAGATTAATACAAGTCATGTATGTCATGTAGTCATGTCATGTATGTTATGTTAGTTTCATGTCTTCCTTGTATAATAGTTTATTTAGTTCAGGACCTTTCTGAAAATCACTTTGTGAGAAAGCTTCCTGAAATTAAATATTAATTAAAAAAAAAAAATACAAGAATGAAGAATAAATGTACTGGATATTGGCTGGATAATTTTGTCAGAACAACCAACTTGCAAGACAATCTTACCTAAATTCATTAGTATGGAAAATAACTTAACAGCTATACAATGAGTAATCATATATTATATTTCAGTGGTCTTCGACATGTTCACCAAATATTTTGTGTATGTTACTCTCCAACTGTTAACATTGGCAAGTGTAAACAACAAGTGACATAACTTTTGCTTCATATGATTACAATAAAGTTTTGAAAATTTGACAAGTATGGATTGAATTGACAGGTGACAGTTTACTAAATAGCCGGCTGTATAGACACTTTGAATATGGTTTGCATGAAATTTTTATTTCCTGACTTTATCTGTTACAATCATAATCACATTATAAAGTTAGTTAAATTTTCTCGGTGCGGGGGTCCGGGGGGGGTAGCACTTGGCCTGCTGCACTCCCCGCTGTGTACAGCCCTGTTTTAAATCTTATCTGCCATTATAATAAGTGATGAAATATTTCAATTGTCCCATGTCATCTTCATTATTCAGTTTCTTTCAAGAAAATACAAAATGTGAATCAAGTTTTTTCGCAGATACATGTACGCGTCGCGTACCTATTTTTAATGATTTGCGGTTATTATCTTTCTCCCTTTTTACTCGCTGGGGCACCTGTGCCCCGGACGAGTATAGGTTTCGGCTCCTGCCAATTTTACCCAAATTATCCATAAATAACCCAGCATTTTGAGGAAAATTTGGGAAAATTGAACAATTTTACAAGGAATTTCGCACGAAAACAGCAACCTTCGCAGTTCGCAAATTACATCGCAAGTTTATACGTTTGGCTGCGCTTCTTTAATATATTTTGAGAAGAAAGCGACAACGTTCGATTCAGCGTAAGAAATTCTACTCACGGATGTCAAATGTATTACTAAACAGCAGTATTCTAGCGATTTATGGCCTTTGAAAATCAAGCGAAATTGGTCAAATTGTATAAATGTTGACAAGTCACTCACACTACCTTTGTCCTTGTATTTGTGATGCCTCATGGCGCAATAACGATAAAAAATCACCGTTCGATTCAGGGTAAGAAATTGTACTAAACAATAGTATTCTAGCGATTTATGGTCTTTCTCTTTGAAAGACAAGCGAAATTGTATTGTTAACAAATCGCTCATACGGATGTCAAATGTATTGCTAAACAACAGTAATCTACCGATTTATGGCTGTCTTTGAAAGCCAAGCGAAATTGTATTGTTGATAATTTTGGTATCATTGGTTTTCTTTTTTTCGGCCGTATAACCACAGATTGCGAACGTGACCTTGGCGTCTGGACCTCCTCCACTCTTACATGGTCGAAACAAGTCCTCCACCAGTGCGCCCAAGCCCACAAATCCCTCGGGTATATTCGACGGTCCACGATCAAAATCAAGACCATCTCTGTTCGTCTGACTCTATATCTTACCCTCGTTCGTTCCCACCTCGCATACGCGTCCCAAGTTTGGGCTCCACAAACTGTTGACCTCATTAAGCGTACACACCATGACATTATTAACCTAAGCAGCGACATACTACCTCACCCTCAAAATTCAAGTCAACGTACCCGATCTACAATTTCCCTAACTGCCTACAATTTCAGACTTCAGCATGCAAAACATCTACATATCAAAAATCATATCTAATAAGGACTACTAGAGTCTGAAACACACTGCCAATGGATTTAACTATTAAGTCGGCACTTTGATCTTTTTTTCTTAGGGGTTAAAAT